ATATCACGAAAGCATACGCTGATGAAGGACGAGTATCTGACCGTAACGATGTAAAGCCTCTTGATGCGTGTCCTAGCAAGAAGCCGGTTGATGTAACAGATAAGATGGCTTTTCTAAGTGTAGAAAAGAAAGAAAAAGGCGAAAAGTGTAGGCATCAAGATGGATCCGAAGTGTGTGATGATAAAAGCCTCTTAACTGCTCGAAAAGCCTGGAACGGTAATTTGGATTCGAGTAATCAGAGGTTAGTGAGTTCAGCAAATATGAATAAAGCCCAGGCAGGATTGACTGAACGGAATAAAGCTTATTTTCGGAACCCTTCAGTTAGGGTAAATTATATAACTGGACCTAGAGTAGCTTCTAGGATAAGTGATGGTGGTACAGTAACGGCTAAGAAGCCTAGGAGACATGATGCTACTATTACTAAGAAGCCTGAACCTCATGCTCTTTCGGATGCTACGACTAGCTATGGAAATAGTAGCCATCAGAACCTCAGTAGTGACAGTGATAATAAGAATATAGAAAGTGTCAGCAGTCCACTTATAGGGACTAGTTTATCGACTTCATCGAGTGAGCCTCCTAGTGTTTCGACGCCATTGGACCTCGTCACGAAGGTTAAGTTGATTGAAGATGCACAAGGTTGTGCAACTGTAACTGTTCCTATTACGGTTGACCGTCAGTCGAGTGATGATGAGAAGAAAATGTTTGATGGTAACAGCCAGTCTACAGTGCTGTGTGATGACGATGCTATTGTTGAGCATATGTCTTGTGCCGCGGAAACGGATGCTAATGCAGAACGGAATCATTTAGACGTTGATAATAAACTGGATGTCACTGATGTGACAAATGAGTTACCGACGATGATGGATACTGTTCAAACCTCCTCTGCATCAGGAGATGGAAGGATAAATATTGATCCTACGTCATGCTACTTAAGGTCTTCTGGAGACGACGAAATGTCAAAATTGGAAATCTCACCCTTGCATATTATTTATGGGTCAAAAACTTCTGTTGATAAGTTAGCATCACGGACTTCATGGTATCTGCTGATCAGAGCAAGTGGTGGTGGATTGGCGACTCGTCCCCACGATAGAGAATGTAGTCCTTGGATAGGATATGACCAGTTTTGCGACGCGTTGTTCATGTTCGTATGGGTTAATTGGGTAAGGTTTATACTACCGTTAGGTCATTCCACGATAGATAGGGGAATCAAGGGCCTGATGGGAAAGTATAGGAACCTAGTTAACACGACAGGTCATATCCATGTTGGATGGCGGGTAGGCGTACTGCTGTAAGTCCTACACGTTATTCCGGTGTGGATTAGGGGATAACATGGGAACCCTAAATAAGGTGTCATTAACGCTTGCTGTTTTTGCATGGAGGGATTTTGCGGGCCGGTGTAGAATTCTTTTTGAATGTTTTGTGTTTTGGAAAATCCCTCCATGTTTACATATTTTTGCTATGACATGATGGACTTTTTCTCTTGACATTTTTGGTATTTTATTTGATTCCAATTTGAGATTTTACCATTGTATGTTGTTATTCTTTCCATATTTTGTACTTATATTGAAGTTTTTGTGTTTGCCTTTGAACTGTACATATATTGCTTAAATTTGATATAATATGGCTACCGCCACATTTTTGGATAGACGCGGTGGCTGCTGGACTTAGTGTCACTTACTAGCTATTGTAATAGATACTCTACGGAGTAATTTAGTCCTGGAAGAAACAAAAACACCGTAAGCCTCTGTATTTCCATTTTATAACAATATAGAGACGTTTTCTCCTAGAATTTTTGGCCTTTTAATTTGGCTGGGACCTGGATCTAGGAGTATCGTACCGGTGTGTTTCTATTGGACGCGATTAGGACAGCCGCCGGCGAAATAAATTCTACAGTTTACGAAGTTAAACCGTCAGATCATTGTTTCCATTTTCAGCGTACTTGCTGGGACACCATCCAGTACTTCAATTTAAAAGTGCTTCATTGCGCTGATCACCTTAGAAGTAATCTGTGCACTGAAGCGTACTCTTGTGACTTCATAGGATGGTATTGGGGTCAGCTGTGGTTCATTTAGAAAGTTTTTGTTTGTTAATAAGGCACATAAATACTCGCTACATAGCTCTATGATGCAATTAAGGTGTTCTTACACTTTATTGCCCCAATAAATGCGCTCCCTCCTTTCACTTAACAGCATTTAAGTTTATTTCGAAGGATTGTGATAGATGCGGTAGAGTCATCATTCGGTTCGGCAGCAAGTCTCTTCTGCGCGATTGCATTTTTTGTACGTACTACCTTTGTTTTGATAAACACTTCTGTGATCGTAACTACGGAGAAGTCATTAAGGTTATGAAGCCTGGTGGCATCTCTTCGAAGAAATTTTCTTATATGATCTGCCATATATATCCCTAGAAATCCTGTCTCTAGTGTTCTAAGGTTAAGATTTATTGAGTATATGACTAGGGTTGTTATAAGATATGTTCATTAGTTCGTCGATATTGATTGCGGTAAAGAAGGTAGTCTAGTGAATGCTTCTGATTCAATTTCGGAATTTTGCCCAATCAACCCTACGTTATTCCGCAAAATATGTGGTGGTTTTGTAGCTGTGGTTTTTATATCAAGACTATATGCAGTGATATTATGATCGCTACCTGAGAACTTGTTTCCAATATATGTAGTATTGGAGATGAAGCGATCAGTGAAGACTAAATGCAAAATATTGTGATGTCTGATATGGCCGTCAACATATTGAGGCCACTCGCCAAGCTCTAAGCATTCAGTAAATGATTCAAATGGTTTTGGCACTTTGATTGGAAATCAAGGGATTTCAGGCATGTTGAAGTCCCTACAAATTGCTTTGCTTGTAAAAGGTAGGCATGAAGAGAACGTGAATACTTCTGACAATATTGCTAGATCCTCTGTTGATGCTTTAGGCTGACTGTGAATACAGCTGAACAATAAGGAAACTTTTGACGGATTTTTGTTCTCTGAGCTGGATGTTTTGGTAGTATGGCTTTCATTGTTCTTCTGAATAGCATCATCAGCACAAACATCAGGTAGAAGTTAAGTACCAAGAAAACTGGAAAATCAAGTACTTAAGAAGACAACCAATAAAGGTTTAATTATTGACTACTACAACAACTCAAAAACTCACAAAATCAACTGTGTACAAATCTTGTTGAAGGGCGGCGAAAGCACACGGCGACATACATGAAGCAAAAAACGAAGGAAAATACCCAATGGTTGTCCTCTAATAAAACCGCTGTTCATGCAACCTCATCAAAAAATGTCAATTGAAACCATCAACAGAGGCGAAATCAAGTACAGGAGCCAACAGATGGATCATCCTACCCTACACGAAAGACATATAGGGAATTGCAGCAGGACTAATGAAACAACGTGGATTTTGTGTAGCACACGAACCAACAAGATCACTTTAATCACTCCTATGTAAACCGAAAAAAGAAGAAAAACCAAACATCATCTACAAAGTAGACTGCTTAGACTGTGAAAAACACAACATAGGACAAATTGGGCCCTCTTCAGCTTCTTTTGCGTAAACGTCAATTAGCAGTCAAACACCCTGGCATTTATTCCCTTATATCAATACATACGGATAAATATGAGCATACATTCGACTGGAAAAATGCTAAAATACTGGATAGACAGAGTAAAAAGAACATCACAAAATGTTTAGAAGCTTGAAACTCAAGTCAATCAGTAAACAAATCGAGATTGACCTAATTTATCAACCAATCAGAAAAATCGTAGGCAAATGGAGGAACGAGAAATAGATAAAACGAGACACGACTAAAATAAAGGTGTAGACAACCGCAGGTTTAAGGCCAGTAACGACCAATCAAGATCGAGGTGAACATAACAAGCTACCGGTCAAACCGGGTGAAATTCTAAAACTTCACTTTTACCTGTCGCTTGTGCTGATGTTGTTCAGAGGAAAAAGTGAAGCTTCACAACTAACACATCGAGCTCAGAGAAAAATTCTCCATCACAATCATTCACCGGAGCTACACATTTTCCTCACCATATCCGTACAGAAACTGGATGAGGGTTTAGAACGATTCGTTGTTCAGCTGAACAGCACTCTTTTCCTGGGCAATTGACGATTTAGTACGTATTATCTCTGCCTTGACACATATTTCAATCATCGTTACTAATGAGGGGAAGTCATTACAGTTATGAGGTCTGGAAGCATGTCTTCGAAGACGTTTTCGTATATGGCCTGGCATATATAAGCCCTTAGGAACTCTGGGGCTCCAGGATCATAAGGGTGCAAATTTATTCAATATATTATTTTCGTTGTGATAAAATACATTTATTAGTTCATCAGTATTGTTTGGGGTAAAGTTGTTCGTCCAGTCAGTGCTTCTGAGGCGATTTTGGAATTTTTCCCAATCAATCCTACGAAAGTCCTTACGAAGTGTGGTGGATTTACGTTTTATAGTTGTAGCTCCTATATCAAGGCTGCATATGACCATATTATAATCGCTACCTGGGAACATTTTCCAATATATACAGTGTGACGAATGAGATTGCTGGTGAAAAGTAAATCCAATCTATTTTGATTTCTGGTTGGGTCGTTAACATGTTGAGTCCACTGTCCAAGCTCTAAGCATTCAGTAAATGATTCAAGTGGTTTTGGTACTTTGATTGGAAGTCAACGGATTTCAGGCATGTTTAAGTCCCCACAAATAGACTTGCTTGTAAACGGTAGGGATGAAACAAATGTGAATACTTCTGACAGTGATGCTAGATCTCCTGTTGGTGCATTAGGATGACGGTAGACATAGCCGAACAGTAAGGAAACTGTATTTGAGGGTTTCAGAACGATCCACACAGAATCTGGCAATCTGTTTAGTTCCGGTACATCATATAAGAATGAGTTTTGGCTAGAGTGGGCATATATGAGGCATCCTCCACTTTTTCCTTGTAACCTTTCACTTCGAAATAGATCCTTCTCATTCTCTTCTAAATAAACAACAGGCCAGGAATTTGGTCAGGTTGTTTAATCATTTCACTTATAGTGTTCATCTGTTAAGGACACATTTCGCGCAAGTTAGCCTAATTATGTTCGGTGCGAAATGCTCATATTCATTTTTCGGACAAAAGTCCTGTTCTATGGCCACGTTGAAGGATATCGCTGTACGACTACGGTCTGTCAAAAATATACAGAAAATTACCGCATCTATGAAAATGGTTTCGGCATCGAAGTTCGCCAGAGCTGAACGTGACTTACGTCCAGCTAGACCTTATGGTCAAGGCGCTCGAGGTACTTTTGAAGCATATTTTGATTGCTATAGCATTTTATAATACCGCAGAACTAGTGCCGAAGGAGATCAAACCTAGTGAGAATGACTTATTGATTGCAATCACGTCCGATAGAGGTCTATGTGGTGCAGCTAATAGCAGCATCGTAAAGGTTAGCAGAGACAAATTACATTAAAACCTGCAGGCAGTCAGATCGCTGCTTCGTAGCAATCCAGAGCTAGAAAAGTCGTGTAAGTTACTTTTGGTTGGTGACAAGTCCCGTGCAATGATGATTCGTCAGTATCGTAACATGTTTCTGATGACTGTCAACGAAGTCGGCAAAAAAGCACCTACTTTCGAGGATGCGTCTACAATAGCTCAAGCAATAATATCAACTGACTTTAAATTTGACAAGGCTGTGATGTTTTACAATACGTTCAAGTAGTTTTCTTTCGGTTTTGACATTTTGTAGGACAGTTGTATCCTATACAACGACAAGTCAACCTCTCTTAAGCTTAGATAAATTGTCTGAATCTCAAAACATCTATATCTATGACTCAGTAGACGACGAGGTCTTGAGAAGTTACAATGAATTCCTCTTGACTTCGCTAATTTTCGCTGCTATGAAAGAAGCAGCTGCGAGTGAACAGTCTGCACGCATGACTGCAATGGATTCTGCTACAAAAAACGCAGGTATGTGCCTTTTATCTTTTTGCATTTTTTGAAGGTGATATGTTGGGTAAACTGACACTCAGTTATAATCGGACACGTCAAGCAGCAATCACACGCGAACTCACTGAAATTATATCTGGTGCTGCAGCTGTCTAGTTTTGTCGCTTACTTGAAGTTCTATAAAATTATGTAATCTAGTAGTAAATGTCCGGTAAATATTTCATACTCTTTTCCTTCATTATCTGATACCAAAAAAGTGAATAAAGTCTATGCAAGATTCCGTTGAATGTAATGAACCCGATATGAGTAGGTTTAGTTTAGTAAAAAATTCTTATTCAATGACGTCTTATCATTAGGATGTGGACCATAGTCAGTTTTAGAACAGTCGACGTTGTACTAATCTCTCTGTAAACCCAGTAAAGTAGCAGAGATAGGTTTTTGGGACAGAACATTTAAGAGCACTTACTTCATGATTATCGTAATTTTCGCCTATGAATTTGTAAGGTGTTTTCGCAGCATTGAAATAAGTAAATCCGGGTTCTCCTGAAGAAACTTTATCAATTTGCGATTTTACTAGGGTATAAAAAAACCCATAGCACTGTATTTGTGCATAAAAGCTAATAGTACGGGAATCCAAGTAGTCCTTCAAGCAATAACTTCGGAAATTCCCTGGATTACATTCATCTTAGCAAGAAGATTACATAATGAGATCAGTTATGGGATAAAAGCCTTCATACCAAGTAGGATCCACCTCAAATTATAAATATTCTAAAGTATATTTTCGTATTTACATACAATGTCCTGCAGGTAAAACTGGGTTATATTGATTAAAGATCACGTTGAGGTAATAGCTTTTTAGAGATTTGGAGCACCACAAACCAGCACTTGAATGGCGGATTTACACACAGCAGTAAATCAGCTTATGAGTGTATAAAAAATGAAGTGGACAATGGTGTTTATCAGATTAGATTGTCTATAAAGCTGTTTATATGATCCGTCAAAATATTTCGGTTTGTAAATCAGTCAGCTACGTCAGTCAGTTGCAACGTAGAACTTCGTACGTATGAACATAAGTTCAGGTTTCCATACTACATTAACACAGAGACGCAAATGTCAAATCAAATCCCATAGTGATAGAGGTAGTAGAGATATTAATGGTAATGAAGAAGACCAGGGTTTGAGGATATTATTCAAGAATTTTAATTCAGTGAGATAAGGTTAGAAAGACAAGGGTAGAGGTGCTGAAGAATCTAGAAGATTAGGATTTGAGAGAGCACAATGAATGGATGCACTTGCGCTATTGCAGACGATTCTGAGCCATGTCGTTCAAGGTCTCGTAACCATCGGTGTCTATCGTCTGGCAGACCCCAACCAGATAGCCTACATCTACCAACATGACTTAGTCCACTTGTCAGTGACTTCATGGATATGTGCCATGTTTTGGTCTGGCCACCCCTTCCTTCCAGCCTAAACCTACACTACAAAAGAAAGCTCGTCGAGACAGTCGGTGGTTAGGCATACGTAACACATGTCCCAACCACCTCAACTGATGAAGTTTCACCACTTCATCTATTGATCTGCCATCGTTACCTAGCACTCGTTTCCTAACGATAGCATTGCTTACTCGGTTGTCCCACGGTATACGAACAGTGCTTCTAAGACATCTATGATCGAAAACTAGTAACCTAAAAACATCCACTCTTAACGGATATGTTTTACATCCATATAGGAGAACGGAGCGAACTGCTGCACAGTACACCGGACCTTTGGTTAGCAGACGGATATCTCGCCTACGCCATAAAAGACGTAAATTGGCAAAAGCCGATCGAGCTTTCTGTATCGGCGCTGAGATTCCGCCAGTCACCAGGCTATCAGCACTGATGAGACTCCCTAGATAAGTGGAGCGGTCTACACGCTCAACTACTTCACTCCCTATCACTAGTTCAGGTGCCGATGTAACCCAATCTTGAAGCAATATTTTGCATTTCGAGGGGGAAAACCGCATTCCGAACATGTTTGCATGTAGCTTAGGTGGTCAGAAGACTGCATTTTGTCAGCGTCTTCAACGACATCGGCATATTCTAGGTCAGTAAGCGATTTTCCTGGTCAACCAATGAAAAATCTGATGAGCTTAATGTTAACTCTAAGAGGATGTCTACGTCAAAGTTAAACAACAATTGAGAGAGTGGACAGCCCTGATGGACACCACCTGATGTAGAGAATTCAGATGAAAGTTCGCCATAGGCTCTAACTCGACCAGCGGTGTTCGAGTAGAGAGCTTATATGAGGTTAACGTACTTCCTTGGTACACCTTTCAGTAACAGGCACTGCCACAGAATCGCATGGTCCACAGAGTCGAATGCCGCCTTAAGGTACGGGAAGACGCCTGTGTCTGTGTTCCAGGACCTATCGTAGTGTGAAGATGTGGTCTATACAGCCACGTCCAGGTCTGAAACCAGCCTGGTTTTCTCTAGTCTGCTCTTCACGAGCTCTAATTAGGCGTCTAAGTATAATGGAGGCTAACAATTTAGAAACTACATTAGTTAGACTTATTCCCCTTTAATTGTTACAAGAAGACTTTTGTCCTTTCTTATAAATTGGGACAATCAAGGATTGGTACCATTGGGATGGGATTACGCCCAGTTTCCAGATTCTACCTAAGATCTCAGTCAACCTAGCTGCTAAAACTGGGCCACCATCCTTAAAAATCTCAGGAGTGAGCCTATCAGGCCCTGCTGCTCTCCCTCGCTTCCGATTTCCTATCGCTTCCTCAACTTCATCAAGCGTCGGACAACTTACATCGATTCGCCATTCTGGTTGACTGGAGATCGTGGGCAGCCAAAATGTGGCTGAAGGCCAATTGAACTGATCCCTAAAGTGTTCTGCCCGTCGATCCAATCTCCTGGATTGAGAATGAATAATTAGACCATACTTTTCTGAAATAATCTCACTCACATTCGGGTTCCTAACACCGGTTTCCTTGATGAGTCTGAGTAGTATTCTACTATTGACTATCGCCGCTGCCTTTTCCATCGCTCTTGCTTTCTCTACCCAACACTGTTCTCAATCATTGCGTAGGCTTTTTATCAGCCTGCGCCTGAGCTGATTTCGCTCTCTATCATGTTCAGAGCCAGGTGGGATGAGTATACGAGCGTCTATCAGTTCGGTGGATGCTACTGAGATCCACCGCTTCTTCCTAGCCTTATGGTTTACCTTACTAGCATATATCGCTGCTGTTTCCACAGCTACTTAACTGTTTCTCTAGTTGTCCCTGAAATATATTCTTAGCTTTATTATCATTAAGTAGAGCCCTAAGAGGTTTCCTTGCGATATTTTTCTTGCGTGCAGTAAGGCGCAAACAAATACGCGCCCACACTAGAGCATGGTCTGAGTCTAAACAAGTGCTTCAGAATGAGCGGTAGTTTTCAACAGAGCCTCTCCACCGATGGATTATAGCGATGTGATTTAGTTTCGTCGAACGCTGAGACGACTTTGGAGGTCGCCAGGTCAAGAGATGCTTTTCCTTATGCCTAAAGTTAGTGCTTGCTAAGAATAGGCGGTTGTCTGAGCATACTTGCAACAGACGGTCACCATTGTCTGTTCTCTGAGCTGTGACACCATAACATCCACCTAGGTCTCTCCTGCTCACTTAGTCTACCTACCTGAGCATTAAAGTCACCGGTCATTTTTACTATATCAGAGCGCCTAGCTTTTTGGAGGAGGTCCGAAAGCTTTCTGTGAAACTCATCTTTCACCTCGTCTGAACTGCAGTTAGTGGGGGCGTAGGCAGATACAACGAAAAGGCAACGGCGAGTGTCCCTATCATTACTGTCCCATTTAGTCAGACAGCGCACAAACGACTATCTACTGGGATCCAGTCTAAGAGAGCTAGTTCTGCCCTAGGACTTAATACTATATCTCCGCCGGCGAGGCCACGGGAGGCAGTATCAAGGCTACCTAAAACACGAGGTGCAAACCGAGCTGTGTCTCTATCTGCACTGGGTGAAATCAAATTGATGATTTCACATGGATCTTGTATGCATGTTTCGGAGACGCAACATACACCGATGTCCCGGGATTCCATATTTCTAGCTCATAAAGCCTGTTGCCTTATTCCACACAAGGTCGAACATTAAAAGCTCCAATATGTAGTTTAGTAGATGGTTTCAGGAGACCAGGAACAGTGTTTCTTGAGCTCGAAGCGTCTGCTGAGGTGGCGCGAGGTGATAAACGATCGAAGAAAGAGGTGGTCTAGGAGATAAGTGAGCTATTAGGTGTAGAAAGAAATCGGTTGGGACTGATTCGGTCTCGTGTGCTTAAATGGGTATAAGGGCAGATGTAACTTCCCGGCTGCCCACAACGTGGAAGGATTCCGGTTGTATGAAGGAGCATCGGCCTCGTGATTTCCGAAGGAACTCTTCTAGATGAAGACCTAATCCGCAGAGCAGGTTTTATATGGTTTGAATTATTTATTCTTGTTAGCGTTTTTTAGCGAGTTAGATTTTTGCGAGGTGGGTTCGACAACCGCAACCCTCCTACTTTATCAAGCAGTAGCCACGAAGGGTCTAAATGCGGAGTTAAGAACAGCATTGCTTACTTAGTTGTACCAAGATACACGAGCAATGCTACGGAGACACCTGTGGTCCACAACAAATAACTTACAAATGTCCTCTACTCCCATTGGCACGGAGCGAACTGCTACTCAGTAAACTCGTCCTTTGATTAGCTAAACGGATATTTCGCCTACAACAAAGGTGACGCAAGTTGGCAAAAGCCAATCCAATCCATGCCATCAGCACTGATGAGACCCCCGAGATAAATGAAACGATCAACACGTTCAACGGCTTCACTCTCTATCACTAGTTCAGGTGCCGATCCAAGCTAATCCTAAAGCAAAACTTTACGTTTCGAAAGGGAGAACCGCATCCCGGACATGCTTTCTCTTTCTAAAGTTATCCCACTGAATTATACTTCTCGAGTCATATCTTCGATCCCTAATCTTCTCCATTACTGCTAATACTTCTACTATCTCTACCACTATGTGATTTGAAATGACTGTTGCGTCGGTGTGCTGACGCAATATGGCAACCTGAACTGATGTACTTACGTACGAAGTCCTGCGTTGTAACTAACTGTCAGTAGACCGCCTAATATGTATGGTTTACTGGTGATCCTCGAACTGTCCCAGTTAAACCCATGTTATCATTTAGTGATTAACTTGTCTTAAGATTGTTCTATCCATTCAGAACCAGAACTAAAATTACTGTAGAATGATCGTTACTTGTTCTTGGTTGTCTATATTTTCCCTAGGAATAAATTTGGGGAACTGTTTGATATTTAAAAACTAGTTTATGTTTTTAAGAAGTATTTTTCGAAGAGTAAAAATTGGGTTATCACGTGGTAATAAAACAATAAACGATGCTAGAAGGTATTATGTCGAGCATTTTATACTGAGATAAGCATGATGATCTGAGCAGAAATAGACAGGTTTACCATTGATCCAAGTACATAACAGTTTAATTTGAGGCTTCACACTTGCTTCATCCAATATTGGGTGTATAATTATGAAGTCTGCAGAAGAGCCTGGATTTAACGTTCCCAAAGGCAAAATGGATTCCGAACGCGGCATATGTTTTGAGTTGGATACATTTGAAGATAAAAGGCGAAGAACACTTGCTGGTCTTGTGCTGGCTGCAGCCAACGCGTACCCAAGTCCAGCCCATTCCTTAGGAACACTGAATTCAGCGTTGAGTTTCTCGTAAGTGACTTCTAGCCAGAAGTTTCTCACACATGTTAACAGTGGCGTAGTACCTCCAGCTAAACAATTCGTACCAGCAATATATGCCCTAAAATTAATACCAAAAACATAAAACGACAATCAGAGGCTGGCGAATACAGATGACCACACAAAAATGTGAAAACTAGGCAGTAGATGTGTTCCAAGCATTTGCTGCGTATCTTCACCTACATCTCGCACAACCACCTGGGAATATTTTGCAATAAGTGTACAGTTCTGGTGATTAGTTATTACATTTATGACGCTATAGCATCAACGGAAAAAGAAAACTAAGAAAAAATAGGTATCAAGATTTGAGGGATAATAATTAGTGAGTACACCTGTGCTAGTGCGGCTCATTTCGGTCTCCTTGTCTAAGGTATCCACCCATAAATTGTTTAGAACCACATGCCTTCATCACGTCAATATTTCTCTGTATTACATAAGTGGATCCGATGTATCCGCCTGCACCTTTAGTTGGATTCTATCGTGCTAAGAACGCAGAAAACTTCACAGAGAATATAGTGCCATCGACTTAACTAGACTAACATCCTTGACTCTGGTAAGCACCATGAATCTTTTTTGTATGGATGTATCATTCAAAATTACTAATCTGAGTTTAAGATAATAAGACTGATGAGTTTTTTCTTAGTGGAAACGATAACTCGAACAACAAAAATATTCCTACTACAATGTCTATGAGGTAGACAGATAGTAGTCGCCCGTGCGGGACGTGTTGTAGTACTACGTAAACTGGGATTTATCTTTTCTTGATAAAATGTTTAACAAAGGGAGTCGATCCTAAGGGATTCACATCATTGCGTTTCTCCTACGAAAAAAGGACAGAACCATAAAGAAAAAGTTTATTGTCAGAAGTAATAAAAATACTAAGTACAAACAGCTAGGCGCATACTTGCCACCTTCTACTTGAATATTTTGTTCACCAAACGTATACGAACCATCTGGAAGGCCGAATGCGGTGTTGCAATCCGTGACAAGGGTTACGTGACCAGGTGAAATTGCCTCCGCTAAACGTAGAGCAGCTGGATGTGAATGTACTAAGTCAGCAATTAGCCCAATGTAGAGTGGTGTCTTGTTGCCAGCAAATAAACCAAAGATGTGTGCTTTGCGATGATGGAAAGATGGCATTGCATTAAACAGATGAGTGACAAAAGTCGCTCCTGAAGACAGAACAGACTCTGCCGACTCATAGTCGGAGTTGGTATGACCAATAGACACTACGATACCTTGTGACGATAAGTATGCTGCGGCTGTAGGAGCGCCTTCTAACTCTGGTGCGATTGTAATCATTTTCACTCTGCCAAGATTAGGACCGTAAACCTTTGAAATAGTCTGATACTATAAAACTAAAACGGTTAAAAATTACCTCTATGGGATTAGCACCGAATCCTTTTATGTAGTCTGTTGGGTGCATTCCAGCGCAATCTGTACTAATAAATGGACCCTCAAGATGAATTCCTAGCATTTTTGAACAGTTGGGTTTGTCTACGTACTTCTGGTATGCTGATATAAGTCTTGGATAAAATTCTTGGCAGGATGTGATGATTGTTGGACAAAAAGCTGTAACTCCTGTTTGTGGAAGTCTCTTTGCAACTTGGATACAGACATCTTCAATGTCCTGATCTGGATTTGAGAAATCATAACCGTATGCGCCATTAACTTGAACATCTATAAGACCGGGAGAAATAATACCTCCGCCGACATCGATAAGAATATCTGGCATTGCCTTTTCGAAAAAGAATATTGTTAATCCATCAAGAATTATCCCATCTCGAATCCACAAGTCATCTTTAACCAAATGCTCTTCTTTAACTAAATAGCAGTTGTAAAACTTGATAATTTTCCCCGCCAAGTCTAGTCTGGATAAACTATCCATTAACCTAAATAGATTCGTGGGAAATTCGAATTGTCATCGGTGACTAAGAAAAGCTTTTTATTTAATTTTTGAGTTTTTTAACAATAATATATTCAATCAGTGATAAGTCATATTCGCCAATTACTGAAAACTTAGGTAATAAATTTATTCATTTGAAATCATTAATCAATCATCATTGTTAGACCACCATTAGAAACCTGGAAGCACTGGACGGCCGTTTCGTCCTAGTATGGGACTCCTCAGCAGTGCGCATCCACGACTCCTGCTCCTCGCAGGATTCGAACCCGGGACCTTTGGCATTGTAGGCGAACGCCTTACCATCGGACCACTGGGCCGGCATCCAACGGTGTTAATGTCTAACTCTGATTGATCTAGGGATTTATTGCTACCTATGTACATCAGTTATACGATATCATTTGCTGACAGGATTCAATGAAATTAACCACTTCATAAACAAGTTTATTTTTTCTCCTAATTTTTTTGCTTAGGGATAGTGCAAGTTGCTGTTCTGTCTAAATTTTGACTAATTTTCGGATGATCTTTTGTAATACAATATGTTCGTTTGAAAGCATCCCTGAATGAATAAGTTTTGAAGACTTCATCTCATACCATCTAGCTAATAAGCATGATAACTTTTCTGCATACATATTTAAAATAGGTTTGCAGTTTAAGGCGATTCAAACTTCATAAAATTCATTTTCATTGCACGTTTAGGATTATATTGAAATCGATTTCCAAGTTCAAACACTATCTTCATAGACTAAGAGAAAAACCTTATACTCGGGAAATCATTTGTATGATAATTGGATTGGTATGGCTCAACTTGCTTTTGAGCTGCAGAAGTGATAAATTATCCGGTATCTAAGAAACTTTTAGGCAAACAATTATGAGATAACTATGGATATTCCATCATTTCAATGTTGCTCCTAATTCTTGGACACTGTCATGAACATATAATGTATCAAATAGCATTTAAGATAGTCAATAAAGTCAGGACATCATCCATTTATCGTGCGTGGGAGTTGTTTATAGTGAAATAGTGATCATGACGCAGCTACCTTCCATATTGTCATTCAAATAACCAATACGGCTTGGGTATTGAATAACTGTAAATACTTTCTCTTAGTTTGATTACACGATTCTTGCTGAGTTAGGATCCATCTTTTATAGCATTAAAGTAATGGAGGTGAAACTCCTCAAGTTTATATCAGATTTTGTTTGAATTCAACGTCGTGATTTTGAAAAACAAAACGGCTATCTACACGGATTTACGGTATGGTATTTGCCTCCAATTATTCTGCCTGCATAAAGTATTTACTGTGAATAAATAGTGGTATAATGATGCTGAGAATTATAACGTTTATTTTGTCTGAAATTACTGACAAAGTTACAGTCCAGAAATTTGTTTAGCAAAGAGGTGTCTCAAAACAGAAGGTAAAGTAATTTTGAAGAGATTTTTCCAATAAGTCTTTCAGCATGAGCAGTGAGGCTTAATGCATAAGTTTATCAAGTGGTGTTGAGTATAATTATTTCACTCAATAGACAACAAAGTAAATATGCGCCTCCTGAATCGAATTTGTGTGCAGGCTGGTATACTTGCTGAATACTCAAACAGTGTAGAATGGCTTTTTATTCAAGACTTTCATAATATTACGAAACATGCAAGTGTGGGCGTTAGCTTTGTGCTAAGCCGTATTGAAATCATAAGGTAACAGTTTAAGAACTCGCTCCAACTATTTCAGTTCCGACAAACAAGTAGTGAAAAAGATATTCAAATATGATACTGTGCTGAAGACCGATTATCAGGACTCTTGCTTAAGGTCAAGCTAAATCCGTAAATAAACTATATATACGATATTCATTTGTCTTAATTATACATGAGTTTGTCGATCCGGATCAAAGAAACTGCCTTTTTCTGGAGGAATCAAAAATCATAGTTGTAGGAAATAACTGACAAGGATTCTAACACTTTGATTCCCTTAAATGCAGGAAATACTGATATTCCTTATGTGGTGAGTCTCAGGTATTGTTAATCGAGATGTATGAAGTGCAATTTGGTGTAATACTATGATGAAGCGTATAAGATTCTTAAGTGGTTCATACAGAAAATAAACAAGTTTTAAAAAATTTACAGGTATCATTATCAAGGTTTACTTTGATAATTTGAAATAAATTGAGCATTAGATAGGTCGTTAATTTTATATTTGTAGTATCTCGATGAGTAGGGAACTTCAAATTTTTTAACATTTCGTGACTCTGTCAGCCGTTTCATCACCAAGTGGATATTAAAAATATCGGAACAAAACAAAAAGGCTTCCACAACTACAAGGAAACATGAGTAGCTGAAGCTTCCCATATAACGCTAAGTCCTGCTGCCGTTAATAGAATAGGTTTTAAGAACCATCCAAGCTACTATATCTGATCTTTGAATATCTCACACCTATCATACATACCAGTTAAACTGCATCACTTCACACTGGGATGCTACAATTTTTCACACCATATTACAACCATATCTCATATGAATCACCTAGACTGAAGTGTTATGACCTGGGTTTTAATGTACAGAATATTTTTCATTTTATCCTTTGTAGTTTTTGGACTTAGGTCCATCCCATTCCTTTATTTAGTCACTGAAGTGGCTTAAACTGAGTAACGAAACGTCAAAAACATATCATCTTTTCTACGCATTCAGATACCACTTCAGGTCTCAGTTCAACTCGCCTTCAGCCACACTTCGGTTTCCCACGATCTCCAGTCATTCTGAATGGGAAACCGAAGTAAGTCCCTCGAATCTTAATCAAGATGCGAAAGCTATAGGAAATCTGAAGCGAGGGCGAGTATCGGATCCTGATAGATTAACCCCTGAGAAATTTAACGATGGTGGTCCAGTTTTAGCAGCTAGGTTGGACGAGATCTTCAGTAGAATCTGGGAACTAGACGTTATCCCAACTGACTGGCCACAATCCTTGATTGTCCCAATTTATAAGAAAGGACAAAAGTCTTCTTGTAACAATTAAAGGGGAATAAGTCTAACTAATGTAGTTTCTAAATTGTTAGCCTCCATTATACTTAGACGCCTAAGTAGAGCTCGTGAAGAGCAGACTAGAGAAAACCAGGCTGGTTTCAGACCTGGACGTGGCTGTATAGACCACATCTTCACACTACGAAAGGTCCTGGAACAGAGACACACATTTAGGCGTCCCACAATAGATATCTTCCTGGACCTAAAAGCGGCTTTTGACTCAGTGGATCATGAGGTTCTATGGCAGTGTCTGTCATTGAAAGGTGCGCCAAAGAAGTACATTAACCCTTTTACTCGACCAGCGGTGTTCGAGTAGAGAGCTTATATGAGGTTAACGTACTTCCTTGGTACACCTTTCAGTAACAGGCACTGCCACAGAATCGCATGGTCCACAGAGTCGAATGCCGCCTTAAGGTACGGGAAGACGCCTGTGTCTGTGTTCCAGGACCTATCGTAGTGTGAAGATGTGGTCTATACAGCCACGTCCAGGTCTGAAACCAGCCTGGTTTTCTCTAGTCTGCTCTTCACGAGCTCTAATTAGGCGTCTAAGTATAATGGAGGCTAACAATTTAGAAACTATATTAGTTAGACTTATTCCCCTTTAATTGTTACAAGAAGACTTTTGTCCTTTCTTATAAATTGGGACAATCAGTGATTGGTACCATTGGGATGGGATTACGCCCAGTTTCCAGATTCTACCTAAGATCTCAGTCAACCTAGCTGCTAAAACTGGGCCACCATCCTTAAAAATCTCAGGAGTGAGCCTATCAGGCCCTGCTGCTCTCCCTCGCTTCCGATTTCCTATCGCTTCCTCAACTTCATCAAGCGTCGGACAACTTACATCGATTCGCCATTCTGGTTGACTGGAGATCGTGGGCAGCCAAAATGTGGCTGAAGGCCAATTGAACTGATCCCTAAAGTGTTCTGCCCGTCGATCCAATCTCCTGGATTGAGAATGAATAATTAGACCATACTTTTCTGAAATAATCTCACTCACATTCGGGTTCCTAATACCGGTTTCCTTGATGAGTCTGAGTAGTATTCTACTATTGACTATCGCCGCTGCCTTTTCCATCGCTCTTGCTTTCTCTACCCAACACTTCTCAATCATTGCGTAGGCTTTTTATCAGCCTGCGCCTGAGCTGATTTCGCTCTCTATCATGTTCAGAGCCAGGTGGGATGAGTATACGAGCGTCTATCAGTTCGGTGGATGCTACTGAGATCCACCGCTTCTTCCTAGCCTTATGGTTTACCTTACTAGCATATATCGCTGCTGTTTCCACAGCTACTTAACTGTTTCTCTAGTTGTCCCTGAAATATATTCTTAGCTTTATTATCATTAAGTAGAGCCCTAAGAGGTTTCCTTGCGATATTTTTCTTGCGTGCAGTAAGGCGCAAACAAATACGCGCCCACACTAGAGCATGGTCTGAATCTAAACAAGTGGTTCAGATTGAGCGGTAGTATTCAACGGAGCCTCTCCACCGATGGCTTATAGCGATGTGATATAGTTGGTTCCATCGTTGGGTCGGCTTTGGGAATGGCCAGGTCAAAAGGTCAGTCAGTCAGTTGCAACGTAGAACTTCGTGCGTAAGTACATCAGTTCATGTCGCCATACCACATCAGCACAGAGATGTAATTGTCAATTCAAATCCAATAGTAGAAGAGTTAGTAAGGGTATTAGAAGTAATCGGAGAGGTTAGGATTAGAAGATATTATTCAAGAAGTATGATTAAATGAGAAAAGTTTAGAAAGTCAAAACTAGAGGGGTTGAAGAATCCAGAAGATTAGGATTTGAGCGAACACAAAGAATAAATGCACTGGCGCCATTGCGAACGATTTTGAGCCATGTCATTCAAGGTCTCTAACCATCGATTATTATCATCTCGCGGACCCCAACCAGGTAGTCGACAATTACCGGCATGGCTAAATCCACTCGTCAATGACTTCATGGATTTCTGCCATGTTTTGGTTTGGCCGCCCCTAACTTTCTTCCAACCTATTCCTACACTACAAAACAAAGCTCGACGAGGCAGTCGGTGGTTGGGCATACGCAACACATGTCCCAACCACATCAACTGATGAAGTTTCATTACTTCATCTATTGATTTGCCATCCTTACCTACAACTCGTTTCCTAACGATAGCATTGCTTACTCGGTCATCCCAGGATACACGAGCATTGCTTCGGATACACCTATGATCGAAATCCAGTAACCTACGAATGTCCTCTACTCTTAAAGGCCATGTCTCGCATCCGTATAGTAGGACAGAGGGAACTGCTGCGCAGTACACTCGTCCTTTGGTTAACAAGCGGATATCTCGCCTGCGCCATAAGTGACGCAGGTTGGCTAAAGCCGATCGAGCCTTCTGTATCCCAGCTGAGATTTCGTCAGTCACCAGGCCATCAAGATACAACGAAGAGGCAACGGCGAATGTCCCTATCCTTCCGAATCCGTACCGTCCCGTTTAGTCGGATAGCGGATAAGCGAGTGTCTATCGGGATCCAGTCTAAGAGGGCTTGTTCTGCCCTAGGACTTAATACTATACCTATGCCGGCGAGGCAACGAGAAGCGGAAGCAGTGCTGGCAGAAACACGAAGCGTAAACCTTGTTGTGTCTCTGTCTGGACTAGGTGATATCAAATTGATGATTTTACTCAGGTCTTGTATGCGCGTTTCGGAGACGCAGCACACATCGATCGCCCGGGATTCCAGAGCTCTAGTTAATGAAGCCTGCTGCCCTATTTGGCATAGGGCCCGAACATTAAAAGCTCCTATATGTAATTTAGCACGAGGTTTCAGGAGACCAGGAATATTGTTTCGAGAGCTCGTACCGTTTGCTTCAGTGTCGTGGGGTGATAAACGATCGAAAGAAGGGTTGGTCGAGGAGATAAGAGAGTTGTTAAGAGGTTTAGAAAGGATTTGATCGTGACTGATTCGGTCTCGTGTGCTTTTATGGGTTGCCCACACCGTGGAAGAGCTTTTCTCTTGAGGAACCTGAAAAAGAAGGTAGATTAGCATTGGTCTTAAAGACCTGGGAGCGTGACCGCAGAGACCAGGGGACAACTGCTTGAGGCCGGTCACGCACGGTCTTTTGATGAAAGGTTTTTTCAGTATTAGCTCCGCTCTTAAAAGCCCTTAGTGGGCACCCTTTCCGCCGGAGACGGAAATCCGTGAGGTGTGACAGTTTTAGGGTCGACCTTTTCTTTGTGAGAAGGCAACGTCGCTGTAGATGCTGGTTGTCCGAGGGAAACACCTTACTGCAGTAACACTCCAATGCAGTCAGCAGTACAACGTTGCCCCTAGAACTTGAGTAGCTGCTTTTAGTCTCATCGTTCTCTAATCAACCTGCCTGGCATAGTAGAACCTTCAGAATATAGCTCAGTTGGGTTATTACGATAGGCAAGCCCGACCACCACGTCAAGGTAGCAGCTATGGTCGGGACTACCCATTAGTGATGAATCAACGAAAACAAACAAAACTAACCGAATATATTCTCTACTAAAAAGAACACAAGTCAAGTTCTATTCGTTAACAGCAAAAAGACAACATTGTGTCAATTAATTAGATGATTAGAATACTTACACTTACACTTAAAGCAAACCTACGAATATTGCTTTGGATTTGGAAATGTGATGCTATACTTATTTAACTGGGATCAAATGCAACCTATAGATTCTTTTTAAGGTGTAATGACGTCATGTATTATTAATTTGAAATGATACTAGCAAGGATGTAAATTGTGTTAAGGTAAATCCAAAATTGTCTATATCGTGGCAGATTGTCAGGACAACAATCATCTTATGGAAATGGCGACTTTAGAAGCTGGAAAACCGTCTACTGAGGCATGATACAGATGTCACATGTTCCGAAAATTTTACTGATAACGTTTGTTTAGGGACGCACTTAACCATGAGTCAACCTGGTAAAGTTAAAGTAAGACCTGTTGACGACTGTGACCGACCTATCACCTAATCCAGAAATACTATCAAACTATGAAGCAAAAAAATAGCAGTGAGATGTCGAATATTTTTTCACAAGCTACAAACCAATAGGTTTCCTTGTTCTGTTGTTTTGGGATGGTTTCAGGGATTCGGCAGTGGCCAATGGATGGTAGTCTAGCCACTCAATTTTTATAATTGTAGTCAGCTGCCAGTTATTTAAACATTTGTGAGTCTCGTTATCTGAGTGAGTCCGACTACTGCTCTGAATGCTGCTGTTAAGAAATTCAACTACATGTGTGCAAACGGTTAGAGTAACTACGATTTACTACAGGTCTGTAGTTGACCAGCACACAATGTTAATCAGTAGATGGAAATGCATACATGAGGTTTAAATTCGGAAACATGTTCCAGCCAAAGCATTCCGAACGCTTCCTAGATTTACATTTACACTGGATCACCTTTCGCAGTTGCTATGGTGCAATCCAAAGTTGCTCTTAAGTCGTAACTACTGTTATCCCTGGGCTTTTTTTCCAGTAGGTATGGAGTCGGTGCCTCATTGAAAATATATTGGGTACCTTTACTATGCTCTGTTAGTACCAGCACACATCCTCGGAATAAAACCTGTTGCACAAAGTTAGGACCATCTAACTACTACGTCTGGACCAATTTGTAGCCTGTACAAATGAGATTGTATTTCGCAATCAATTTAATGTGAAATTGTCTTATACTCACGCATTTCTGGCTTTACAAAATCACTAACTCAAAACTAGAACTCACAACCTTGGACCTACTACCTTCCTCCTCACTGTAGTCGGAAGGTCGTTGGTTGGTGCTTGGTCGCTGGCACGTCTTCAAGGTCACGTAAGATCGACGCTAGTTAGCGGATAGATACCATGGCACGATTACTTTGGGGTGAAATTTGGTCATTTCACTTTATATTTCTTTCGCCCTGAATAATAACTTCCCATTCGAAAAGTCGGTTTAGTCCGGCAACCAAGTTAGGGCTAGCTAGTAGAGGGAATATATTTACGTGTGGTGTACCTTCGCCCCAAAAATGAACCAATCTACTTGCCAAATAGTCCTGGTCATCACTGAATAAAAAACGCTATATTAACAATGGTCTAAACTAGAACATTACATTGATTAAAGTTTAATTTCTATAAACTCTACTCAATTCTTTATTAATAACAAGTCTGACAAGTGTTGAGAATTGCAGTATTCAACGTATTGAAGTATAATAGATGTAAACGTCAGTAAAAGTCGTTTATAATTCCATAATTGGTGAAACTGAAGATGATTCCTTCAAAATACCATTGCATGAACCTGTTTATGAGTATTAATGACAGCGTAGTCGGAGGCTAGAGGGTTTTAGACAATTTTAGCGTTTATTTTAGCTTGATGAACGGTAGGAGTGCTGATATGGTGAATTTAGTCCCTGAACTATTTGTTTATTCAGCAGTTAATAGAACGTTGAAACTATGATTAAATAGGAGTTCGAAAAATACGATAATGACAGACAAGTTAGTTACGGCCTTAGTATATCGAGGGTGGGTCTCAAGCGGGATATATGCCCGGTCCCAAGAAACATCGCGATTTATTACAATGAAAGTATATAATTACGGATATGATAATAAATAAGGAGGATTTTCAGCTCAACAAGGATAATTGTGACATTTCGAAATTCTGTGTTGAGAGGTGGTGAAGTTATGAGATTGGTGATAAGAGATTGTTTTGATAAAACTGTTTTAAAACAATCACTAGAGAGATCTTCGAACTGTCACACTGGATAAGCGATTATTATCAGGAGTGAAAATCACAGGATTGAACGGTACTCTTGTAGTGATCTACTTTTATGAAGAGGACGCGATTGGTTTAATAGAAACATTTATTATTACAACCAATTGTACCTGTGAATGTTTTTACGTACCCTTCTGTTTAAGTGTACCAAAGACACAAATTTTCCATTGTTTGTGACCTGGGACTTACGTAAGCACGGTAGTATCGCCTGTAAAATTTGGCACGACCTCGATATTAGATACCACGGGACTGTCAACAAATATATCCAAACTACTATCTACAACTGTCCTAGTATTTATTCAACGGAGAGTTTTAACCTGAAAATTGGTACGTAACTGATCTGTAGTGGTGTTCAAAGTAATATTCGACTCGACAATGTACATCTGGTGAGCGGCGACTTCGAACAAGCCTCAACTGCTGGAGACTTTACCAAGGAAGCCAATTACGGTTCGTCTATTATTCATCTATCCACTTCGTCGCCTCTTTCATATTGATACCTTTTAATATATATTATACTTGCGACAGCGTTTCGGAATGGTGGATAGCGATAAGAGCAGTGTTATTACTTTTCGTCCTGTTTCTTTTATGCCTCACGCTCCAGAAAGAATTGTGGCTCGAATATTTACCAGCCCAAATATGGCCTACGATCACGGCTCTGCTCGAGCTCATACAAGGCCGGAAAATCCCTTCCCTAGGGGTAAATGAGGCCGCACTCGCCGGCCACTCTCCTAAGGTTGGCCGCTTACTTCACGTAAATTACTATCGCACTATCGCTAGGTACCTAGTAGATACAGGTACCCAAGATTCTGTGTTACCAATCGGTAACGGCAAGACTCAAGCAACGATGCTTTGATTACGCGCTGCGAAAGGCTCATTCGTTCTTTCCTATGGTAAACGACAACTCACGGTCAAGTTGAACGACTGACGACAGTATCTGTAGACGTCCATCATAGCCGCTGTTCCTATATCTACATTTGGTATCGATTTCCTAAAACACTATGACTTGCTTTATTCGAGAATTTCAACCAAATTACTGATCCCATCGGTGACAAATCGTGTGGTACACCACAACGTCATCAGAAGCACCCTAGTCATGGCAAGACCAAGCCGACTGACACGGGACAAAACAGCTCTCTAAACGTGAGTTGGACAACTTAATGGCTACAGATATTATTCTTCCTTCTCGCGATTCCTTGGCCTCACCGGTCCATATTGTTCGCAAAAAGGATAGGATAAGTTGGCGACCATGTGGAAACTACAGAGCATCAAACGTAGTAACATGTTTCGATAGCTATCCCGTCCCCCACATGCACGACATCACGGCATCACTCAAAAGCATGACTATCTTTTGTAAGATCGACCTGGTATGAGCATATCAACAGATCCCATTCGCTGTTGAAGATATCGAGAAAACTGCTATCACTACTCCTTTCGGCCTGTTTGAGTTCCTTCGAATGCCATTTGGATTACGGAATGCTGCTCAAATTTTCCAGAGGTTTATCGACAGCATAGTACGAGACTTAGATTTTGTTCACGTCTGTATTGATAAACTCCTAACGGCATCATCTAACGTAGATGGGCATTATCCGCATCTAGCACTCCTAAACCAAAGCATTTCGGTTAATGGAATAATAGTCAGCCCGGACAAGAGTGAACTTGGAAAATAGTAAATTAAATTCTTAGGTCACATTATTAGGCGAGAGGGTATTTTACCTTGTGGGGACAAAGTACGTACAACACGGAGTACTATAATAATGATAATTTATTCCCATACAACGAACATGTTACAAGAGGCATGCCAATTTACAGGCAAGATCAAAGTTTTAAGTTCGGCAACATATTTCTTTTAAAACGGTGTACAGTCAAAGAAATATTTCATAAGATACATTGGCTCCATTCAGATGGTCTACAATGTACATCGCGAATAATTAGCGCGATTTACGACGGTTGCATTGCGACGAGCTCTTAATGACCTTGAAACAATACAAGGTAGAGCCAGGTTTGCATATAACAAGAGTTGATGAGGTGAATGTGTCAAGGGCTAGTTGATAAATTAATAGGCCCTTGGGTGAAGTAACCAACTCATCGGCAAATATCCAGAGTAATACGTAGGTATTGGAATAAGGTGCTGAAAAAAGAGAAATAGAGTGAACGGGGCGAGTAGCAGGATAGAAAATATTCTTGTTCAAAGACAAACAATGATTCAGCACAAACGTTTCTGGATAAAACAAAAGTATGTTTACTCATTCTTTTTTTAATATCAGAACACTAAATGTGCGCCCGCACATATGTAGGCTAATGAAGACAAGTCACCAGTAAGATAAAGAATGGGCAGTTAATCGTATGAATAGAGAAAATTCAGAAGAACCAACTTGTTAGCAATAATGTTGATGTACAGACTATAATAATGAGGCTCAGTGATCTTATGCCTTTATTTTATCTTATTTATTCTTTCTATTTTTAACTCTGTGGCTCAAGAAGTTGTGAATGAGCTTCTTTTCTGCATAATTGTCCAAATCTGCTTCTAATAGGATTTCTTGGTAGGAAGTTAAGACCAGTTCAAGGTTACAAACATGAGTCGTAGACGAGGTTAACTAGGAAAAGTAACATCAATATTACTGATTTGTTACATTTTGCTATATCTTAAGGAGCCGTAAGCAAACAAAATGTTCTGCCACACAGACACGGGTGGATTGAGGTTATCGCCTCTCCGTTATGAACGCTAGTCAGCTACACTACCCTCTATCCTTTTGTGATGTTAAGCTCTCTTAAGTTTAATGGTAGATCTTAAGCCATGTTTTCTAGTCTACGCTCTATTTTTTACTCACCTTGTTGGAATTCACTTTCTCTAACAGCTCCACGTTACGAGCATACCATACAACTTTGCCTTCTGTATGTAGGACAAAATATCCTCGTAGCATAACAAACTGATTTTAAGTAAACTAATGGTATATATTGTAAGGTATGTGTCAGTTAATAGGTAGTTTGGACATAGGAAGGATAGGGAGCTAAAGGAAAAAGGGTTGAAATAGTGTTTAAAATTAATGTGTAAAAGGATAAATCGATAAGCAGACAAGGTGTTTGTATGTTAATGAATTGGGAAAATGAAAATATGTTAAACTGATAACACTTAAACAAGAAGGAACTCACAATGCTACAGGGAGTTTGAGTTCCTTGTAATTGACAGTAGTTGATCAGCATCTACAGGCTTTTCAATTTTTTTGTCTACTAGAAATAGAAACAAAAACTGCTTTGAAAATAAGAAAATACGGATTGGAATTTAAATTTTCAGAAAATTTCAAATGTCTCCGGTGGAACATCAAAGACGTAACCTTTTACTGTTGGTGGGAGCAGGGAACTCCGCCTGTAGACCCTTCAAGGCTACTGCTGATCCCAAGCCCGGATAAAGGAGGAGGGTTGGGCAAGGGGCTGGCGCCCCCATCCCAACTATAACTTGACCTGCCAAAAAACGCTAACCAGAAGAAATAATTCAAACAAATTTAACTCTGCCCTGGGAGTTGGAAGAAGAATTATTACGTCGCGTGATGAAAGACTAGTTCCCTCGGAAGTCACGGGACCGATGCCTTTTCTGGCTACCAGCGCAACCATTCTTTGAGGTACATGGAACGTTCGTACATTGTAGGAGACTGGAAGACTACTTCAAACTGCGGCACAAATGAAAAGATACAAACTCGAGGAGCTCGGCGTCTGTGAAACGCATTGGACACAGGTAGGACAACTGAGACTAGCTTCAGGGGAACTGCTGTTATACTCTGGTCATGAAGAGGAAAATGCTTCACATACACAAGGAGTTGCACTGATGCTGTCCAAACATGCACAAAAGGCACTGATAGGATGGGAATCTCATGGACCAAGGATCATTAAAGCATCCTTAGAAACAAAGAAGGAGGACATTACGATGAACGTCATCCAATGCTATGTACCTACCAATGACTACAATGATGACGTTAAAGATCAATTCTACGAAGGGCTGCAGTCAATCGTTGACAAATGCTCACCAAAGGATTTGTCCATTTTGATGGGAGACCTAAATTGCAAGGCACACTTTTGTTGTCCACTCAGTATCTAAACTA